ATTGTAAAATATCCATGCTGATATAGTAGAGTGACAACATATGCTATGGTTTGTGACTGTGAAATTTAGAGAGAATGTTGATCATCTTGTCCTGTTCACCAGTGAAAGTCCTTTCTTGCAGAGTCCAACTCTCTGTTAGAGAGCAATTCTTGCGAGAAAACAGCTAGCGCTGAGAACCTGACAGGCCACTGGCCTTAACAGTCTCCCTGCTCATCTGATCCAGTTTCTTTTTTTCCAATATCTGAATCAGTGGTGAGAAATGAAATTGCACATTATATTTTTTTCAGACACTCATGAACAAGGATTTTGAAGTGTGTACCAGTAACTAAACTTAGTTTCCTGATATATTGCCACGAAGTAGTGTGACAAAGCAGTGGTGTGGAAGATGGAAGTCAAAATGGCACAGTTCCCACCTCTCCCAGTGGAAAAAACAAAACAAAACAAAACAAAAACAAAAACAAATCCCCAAAAAAACCCCAAAAAACAATGGAAATGCAGTGCTCTTTCCTTACTTACTAACAATCTTGTCTTAAATTTAGCAACTGGTACTGTCTAGAGTAATGCTTATTAAGTTTTCCTTACTGTGAGTTGCCCTACATAAAATTCTCCAGGTTCTCAAGACCTGGAGGTGATGAAGTGCTGAAGGTGACCCAGCTGACCAAGGGGCTCCCTCGAGCTCCTTTCAGCAAACAAGCATCCACTCAACTGGCCAGTTTCCTGGCTTTCATGGCACAGGACAAATGTCATGATGGTTATGTCACTTTTGAGAGTTCAGGTGGCAAAAGTATTGATGAAGATAGAGTGTTTGCTGGATGGTCAACAGCAAAACCCTCTCCCTTGATATCAGTAACACAGGGGCACTTCCTGTGTCCCTGTCTCTCTTCATCATCTGTAAATACTCTGAGGTCTACAAGAAAAAAAAAAAAATGGATTTTAGTTACTAAACCAAAATATTAGCAGTAAAAGAGTATTTTTTTGCAAGGATGAACATGTCTCCTTTTGAAATATGAAATCACTGAGTTAGGTTTCTCAGTGATCTCATGGTTTATGATTCAGTTTAATAAAATATACTTTCTTCCAACTTGAATCTTCTTCAGATGAAATGTTTTTGAATTTTTAAGAGCATTTTGAATTTTTATTTTCTTTTGCAGAACTACTATTATATCTTTTTGTTATCAGATCAAGGCTTACATGGCTCATTGCTATTTTTGGATCATTTAATTTAAAATTAATCACTTGTGGAGTTTTCAGCAAGTACATTTTGCAAAGAACATGCTCGAGTCTTTTTTGCTTGTATATGAATGTAGACAGTTTTGCCTCTTTCTTTAAAGAAGTCAAAAGTCATATTTTTCGACTTGAGTAAGATTTTGTGCATTTTATTGCCTTTATCTGGATAGGTGCTGGCATTTAAGGAATCTTGCTGTTGGCTCTCAGGCTCTGAGTCCAAAAATAACATTTTTTTGAATGTTTTCTGCTTGCACTCACCGTGTCCAGTTTTATTTGCTATAGAAATTGGCATGACAAATGAGAGTGCTTCTGAGATTTCAAAATTCAGTTGGCAATTTGACTTCAGTCTTCTGCAGCTTGCAGATCTAATAGCCAGCTTGCCTTTTAGCTGCCTTCTGGAAGTGAGGTAGGGAAACTTGGAGAACTTAGCTTGAGAATCTACTTTGAAAATGTTATTACTGGGACTTTTTTATCACACATTACCAGTGACTGGCACATTAAACAGTATACAAAAGCTGAGTATCTTTCTGACATGGCAAACATTTTCTATTTTGGATTGCTGAAGTTTTCCTTTTCAGGAGAGTCCAATGCCAAGGTAGTGGCTTCCACAGAATTTGTACCATATAACTAGCTTGTCTTTTTGATAGATTCCTGCTGATAAGACAGATTCTGATTTGAAGGTGGAAGATGTTTTTTTCCTATAAGTATTAGTTCTTGTTTACAAATAATGAAGTCTGTAATCATTTTCATCCTAATTATTGGATCATAATTCCTGTAGAAGTGAAGTGTGGTGTATGAAAGATGACATGAATTTACTGGTCCACCAGATTTTCAAAGCTAGGACTCAAAAGAAATATTGTTTTCCTGTAAAACATTCAGTTCTTTTTGTTGCCTTGTTCTTTTCCTGTGCTAAGAAATTATAGTAATGGTTTTGCTTTTAGAAATATATTTGCATAAGTAATAAACATTAGAAAATGGAGCAGGAATGATTTAATGATATAATTTTGTTGATTAGACGTTAAAAGTAGCAGCTAAAAAAACGCACAGCAAGCTGTACAAGATAATACTTCTATTATTTTTTTTAGGACTAGAGCTGGCCACAAGGTCTCCCAAAAGAATATGAATTGATAAATTTCTCACTTGTTATATGACAAATTACTTGCAGCTTTGTTTTACTTGAATAGCCTTCACACTAGAAGGAGAGTGTTCATGTTAATATTTGTTCATCTGGGCTTTTGTCATTGAAGTCATGCAGCTGAAATCATCGGAGTATTCGAATATGATAGTTGGCTTAAACTGCTGTTCAGGCTTTTGGGTACCAGGGGAATGGCTTCAGTGTAGAGTGTGAATAGAGCAGTAATGATCTTTCAGAATCAGATGATGCAGTTGTCAAGAAATCTCATTTCCCACTATTATTTATAATAAGCCAGAAGACAGTGTAACATATGGAGGTGAAATTTCTGATGTGTAGACCATGTATGCAAATGTGATGCCACGAGCTGAGGACTGTGAGGAATATGGTGTGTTGCTGTAGGAGAGCTTGCAAAAGAGGTAAAGCGGAAAGAAGTATTTGAAGGTGAGATTAAAAGAATAGGAAATTTCTTCCCATGCGGTACCTGAGATTTGAAGAAAGCCAAAGAATCGGTAATCAAAAATGTCATGTTGCTTTTTTAATTATTTTTTGTCTCTGACCTTTGAAGATTTAGGGAAATATTTAAGGCTGACTGACCTCTCTAGTCAGCTGACATAAAAATATAGCTAGGCTTGGAATTGTGTAATTGGAATCTAGGAAGTTTCATCTTATACTAACCTAAAATTCTTCCTTCAGTGTCAGGCTGATTAAGTTCATATGTATAAATAAAAGACAGAGATTGTAGTTATAAAAATGCATAAAAATATAATATTTTGAGATAGTAATATGTCTGAAACATTTTGTACACATTCAACAATATGCAAAGGTAAATTGCATCATTTAAGGAATAATTCTGTGTAAATGCTATGTGAAATGGTGCCACTGAAGTTTAATATCTGTCAAAATTTAGATATGTAACGTCATAATGAAAATCTCTGCTCTGCACGTGGTTGTAAAATCTCCATGGTTTTCATTGCTATGTAATGAATTTAATAATGCATACACATATGAAAAGTTGAAAAGTTATGATACAATCAACTATGCTTTGTAAAATACACGATAAAGCAATTCACCAAGTGTAATAAAATAAAAGTTACAAAATTATATTATTTAAAATTAAGAAATTAAGGAGAAACAAATCTTCTTTCTTCTCTGAGATGCTTTTTTCAAATATCATATTTGTTGCCTTAAGAAGATCAAGGGAAATTACGCACTGTGGGAAGTACAGGAAGAAATCTGAATCTAGCGAGTGACAGGGGAAATACCTTCCACATTCTAATGTTATGTATTTTTTTCCATTAATGAGATTTTATTATTTTTATTTGTTTTATATTTGTGTAGATTGTGTAGATTTTTATTCTATTTTTAAAATTGAAGGTTTATAATAGAGTTATGTTATTATGTCTGCTGAGAATTGGATGAACAACAAATGTTGTTCTAGAAGGAAGTATGTTACACGTCTCTCTATTACATTGCTTATCTGAGCTGGAGGCATGATGCAACCATCATGACACATGGAGAACATGCATATAACCCCCCCTCAGTATTTCAGTATATTTTCCCCTTAAGCCAATTTCGTTATTTAAAGTTACTTTAATCGGGAATGTGTTTGTCTTACTGTCTGCACAACTGCTTCATAATTTATTTTGTACTTCATGCTCACAGTGGGTGAAGTCCAACTGTAGCTTTCAGTCTGAAAACCAAGATGGACTTCAGCTTGTGACTGGCACATGGAGTGCAAACTGTGATAGGAAGCACATGGCCAAGAGGAACAGTGGGGGTTAGGAATCAGGAGGTGGGGTTGGAAGGATACTCAGTTTGAAAGACAGCAGGGAATCTGGTATCAAAGGTGTTAAGAAGTGAGCTATAACATAAGACCTTAAAATAAGGACAGGAAATTAAATAGAAAGAAATGGATAGGCAGTAAATTAAGGGATACAGAAGAAGAAGAGAGACCGGAGTGGTAGGAAAAGAGCTTTAGCAGCAGGCAAAAATTAATTATGTCAAGAGGTAAGCCACAAGACAGAGTTTGAAACAATGGTAGTTGATGTTTAGGTAATAGAATATGCTTTTACTGGTAGCCAGTGGAATGGGTTGAAAGTCACTACAGCAGAAGTGATAAAGATAATAAAATCAGAAGGCAAAGTTGAACACAAACTGCAGCTTGTAAGAGGAGCTCATAATGCCGTGTTTTGGTCCCAAGGAAGTTTTGGAGCCTCCAGCGTGGCCTGCAGCATATACTCCACATATTGCATAATCACAGTGTGTGTTGCATTTACATTTTCTAGGCTTCATTTGTAAACTAATTTGGAAGGTGGGGAAAACTTAGTATTAACAAAGTGTTTGTTTTTCTATGTAAATTTTGCAGTAATGTAATTCTTGAAATGCAGTCTATCCTCCTATCTTTAATGCGCTTCTATTACATTTTATGAGTCTTGAACTAAAGGAAGAAGTGAGTGAGTGGTATGTTTCTTTGCTAAAAGAAAACTAAAAAAAAAAAAAAAAGGTGTAATTTTTTCTAGACAAACTGAGCAAATATTGTAGATCTCTTTTACACAGCAGAATATTAATTGTCCCAGAGAACTGAAGGTTAAGAAAAGAAAACTTACTAATCTAAAAATGCCTGTTGTTTTGTTTCTAGGTTCAGACATTGTCCAATGGCTAACGAAGAACTTATCTATAGAAGACCCAGGTAATTTCTCTTTTTCATGCCTGAAAATTCTAGTTTGTCTTTTTTAATGACTGGACCTGACTTTGTCTTCTGTTGCAGTGAGGGGTGGCCAGGCAGCATTTGACCAGTGTAATTTCAATAGCAAAACAGACAGCATCAAACCTTAGGAATCTTTGCTAAGAATCTGAGGATTTAGGTTTTCCATTTTATTGGAGCAGGTACCTGGAAACAAGTTTATGGCCAAGAATTAAAATGATAGCTGATTTAATTAGTAGAAAATGAGTTTAAGTTCTAGTCTATAAGGAATATTCACAGTGTCATGCAAAATAGCTCATTAAACACCTGCTGTTTTCTTAGCAGAATTCTTCAATATATAAAAAATAAATGAAATTAATGAAATACGCTCTTGCACCTTTACTGAGAGTTGCATTTCTACTCTTAAGTTTGCCACTTTTATAGAATTTTAAATGGAAAGTGAACTGTAAATAAAATCAATGTGGCAAGGAAGAACATTTCATTGCTTGATCAGTTGGGTTGGAACATGGAATAAGCTTTGGTTCCAAGCTCTGCCACAGGTTTCTTGTGCACCCAGCAGTAAATGCAGTTTGGTGCATATCTGACACTTATTTCCCTGATTTACAGGAATCTTGTTACATGACCTGAAATCTTCCAGAAAGGAATGATTTCTAGTAGAAAATGCTGAATGGCAGAAATAAAATAGTCTGTGGAAGTTCCTATTATCTTTTGGTTAGGGGAATGATAGTTTTCCTTCTTTAAAGCATGATCAAAATTACTTATTTTTCCTCTCTACATTTCAGACTTTTGAGAATGGAATTTATGTTTTATTTTGGGTTTGCTTTTTTTTAAAAAAAATTATTATTATTTAAAAATGTGGGGGTTTTGTCACATTAGAAATGAAAGTAAGATTGTTGTGGAATTCCAGCAAAAAGTAAAATCACTGTGTTTAAAATTGTAACTTGAATAATGAAGGACTATTTTAAATACATAGTTTGATATTTGGAAGTAGCCAGTTCAGAACTTAATCGATATGTTACATGAAAGAGTTCACTAATTGCTTCCAGTTTTATGTAACTTCACACAGTGTCATGTTTGCTTCCTGAAGATAGAGTGGAGGTTGCAAGAGACCTATGTGTGATACTGTATTTCCCAGTTGTCAGTTACAGAACACTCACCTATTTATCTGTTTGAATGATTGCCATTCTGTGTTTATTTGATATAGTAGCTTAACCTTTATTTTTCAAACAAAAACTGTAATACTGGGGTAGGCTGTCATTCAGATTATCAGGTTGTTGTGAAATTTGGAATAGAAGAAACCTTAAACTAAATGGAAAACATGGTTTGCTATGTTGCTATCCAATAAAATTAAACAAGCACACAAACTACTAACATATGTAACCAGAACACCACAGTAAGTTAATTTAAACTGGGTTTTATCCTCTCAGATTGCATGGGTGGAAAAAACTATCCACAATCGCAAAAATGTCTTACACATGTCGGTCCTAGTCCAAGGTCAGCTATCTGGATCTGGCTAGATGCAAATCTCCAGAAAGCCAGTTGCCCTAAATGATGCCTTTGGGTAATGCTCAGAATTGCCAGATAGCAGTGAACCTGACAGATGATGAGCAAGAGCTATTTACATGACAGAACTTACAAAAATATTCTGTTTTGTAAAATCTCTTAAGTGTGTGACTTTTTGTTTGAGTTCTAAAGAAGACAATCTAGAATTTCCTGTGGAAAAGCCATTTCTTTGAACGGTTGTCACCATAATTTGGATTTCCAGTATCTTCTGTCCACTTTTCACCAGTGTGTCAGGGTTTTACTATGGTTGTCTTTCAAAACTCCTGCATAGGGTCCAGTTACTAAGCTCTTGTGAAGGTATGCAATTTTGTGATCCCAAAATAAGTAATGCCTGTGTTTGCACTGAAAGTTATCATCTCCGTCTGATTCTGATATCAGCAACATACCTGTAAGAGCAACATAAAGTAGACCTTGGTTCACATATTCTAAGAGTATATTCTACTCTGTCCAGAAAAAATTGACTATTTGCACACGTAATCTACCAGTGCTGTGGGCTACTTGTTCAAGCAAGGCATGCAAATTGTGATTTAAGGAGTAAGTAGACAGTTAGAATCACAGAATCTTGGAACAGCCCAGGTTAGAAGGAACCTCAAAAGAGCATTTGGTCCAACCTTTTGTGGGAAAGGGAGCCTAGATTAGATTATTTAGCACCGTGTCCAGTCGCATCATGAACACCTCCAGTGATGGGGACTCCACCTTGTCCCTGGGGACTTTGTTCCAGAGATTGATTGTTCTCACCGTAAAAAATTTATTTCTTTTATCAAGATGGACACCCTCCCTGTGCAACTTGTACCCCTGTCCTCTCTGTGTGGCTCCTTGTGAAGAGAGCCTCCGTCTTCTTTGTAGTACTGGAAAACTGTGATGAGGTCCCCCCTGAGCCTTCTTTTCCCCAAGGTGAAAACACCTAACTGTCAGTCAACTTGTTCTTTAGTAAAACAAAGAACTAGTAAGAAGGAAGTGACACTACCGTACATTTATTTTTTTTTTAAAAAAAGGTCACGTTTTGTAGTGTCATTTTTTTCCTTTGTTTTGCATAGGGAATACAACTCCTGTAACATTTAAATGGGAATGAAGAAGACTGCTTTATGGATAGTGGGAAAACAAAAGGCAGGATAAGGTCTGGCAGCAACAATGCTTTCACTGTTTTAATAAATATAAAGCTATTATCTAGAAACAGAAATTTGAGGTAAAAAATAGATACAAATATAAATTGCCAGTCAAAAAAACTTTGCACATTTTTCATAAATGGAAAATAATTTTCTGTGGAAGATTTGAAAGATTTTGGCTTGCTGCAGTAAATCTATCAAGAAAATAAACTGGAGATGATGGGTGGATTCTGCTAAATTATACCAGATTTGAAGTTATTTCAGTGGAGCAGAGTAGAACTTGTGCCCAGAATAGCTGTGTGCAATGTACAGTTGCTGTTACATTGTTTGCTTTTCAATATGTACTTAAAAAGTGTTTGTCTTTCAGCCTACAACTCATCTGTAAAATTTTAAGGAACAGAAACTATCGAAGTTATTTTTAATGTGGAAGTTTAATTCAGTCATAAAAATAAGTCTGATCTCAACCCGAAAAGAAGCAATTAACTGAGTTTACAGAATTGTAAGGGCTTGTGGTTTGGCACTTAGGCATGTGTTTGTTGAATTGACCATTACAGGGTAAGTGCTGACTCTTCACTGATGGTGCCAATTACTCTTAATGCGGAAAATCTACTCTGTTTTTCTACATTGTGTTTTTCTTTTTTAAAGTGATAATTAGTGCTGCGAAATGTGCCAGACTGACCACACTAAAGTTCTTTTAATCCTTAGGGGGAAAATATAGGAAAAAAAATGGTAAATGAGCTGATTTAAAGGTGTCATCTGGAATAGCTGAGAGAGAAATTCTGTACTTGGTTCTTTCACTGATTTCGTCGGTTCCCTTTGAGCAGATGCTTGATTTCTCTATTCCCTAGTATTCTGACATGCTAATGGTAAATCATGCTGTTGTCTCTTTAAGGAGAAAAAACAGTGTCAGTTTTCAAGTATTTTCATGATGAAATGTGTGTTTTTCTCAAACACGCATTTCATCCGTAAGTTAGCCCATGAAGAATTTCTAACTAGGTGTCTCAGAAAGAGCCTTTAAGAGTTGGTAACATGTTTAGCACAGTAGCACATCTGTATGTATTTCTTCCATTTTTCCCTCCCTTGATTTGAAGTAAATTCGCTCTCCAACAGCTGCTGTATTACTAATGACCTTGATAATACACGGTGCTTGCTCTAAAGAGTTGGAGGAAAAATATTAGGGTTTTTATTTGAGTTTATGAAAGTGTACTTGAAAAATTGGTCAGCTCTAAGTTATTTCTGCCCCTTTCCCCATGCATATGCAGTAAGGTAGCAGCAAAGAGCAGGAATGAGATGAGATGTTCTAAACGATTGCCATTTGGGAGACAGCACCAGACAGCTGCAAGTGAAGGGGAGGTTTTTCCAGAGTTTGCCAATGGAGAAAAAAACCTCTTATGAAAAGGAAGAAAGAAGGGAATGCAAAAGGTCATGCTTATGTTTGCAGTCTTTGTATTAATCAAAACTTGTTGAAATACAGAAGGAGTAGAATGCATCCCATTTATCAGCTTAACCAAGAAAAAAAAAAAAAAGCTGATAAAAGTAATTTACACTGCCTGCACACATACCATAATCTTCATACTAGGAAGGCCAAGACACTTGCTTTTTTCAGATGCCTAACAGAAACTTGGGCACATTTTGTTCGATGGGGCAAACCTCATGAACTTTTGTCAGGTCTAGAGTAAATAACTTTCTAGCTTTCTTCTACTGGGTGAATTTGATCTGAAGTCATCAGGTCCTGTAACATTTAAATGGAATAATGACTTGAATTTCAGATGACCAGAAAGAAAGTAAAACTCAAATCCTGCTTGGGAATAGAAGATGTCAAATTTACAGACGCTGCTTTAGTACCAGTAGTATTAATGTTGTGATACTCAAACATTGTAAAAGTGTATGGGTCAGTTTTCCTTTAGTTATGTGTAGCACGGATTACACTTACCTCTGTGCAGCAATCAATCGGTGAGCTTTTAGCTACTGCTGTAGTTTCAGGACTGCAGTGGTAAATGTTCACGTGCAGAGGTTATTTTATTTGTCCAAAGCCTTTAGACGGATTTTGGAAATGGTGAACAGAGGTGTATTGCCTGTAATTCAGTTGTGATGGGATAAATCGTATTTAATGGATTTCATTTTTTTCCACTGAAGCTTTTTCCAGTTTGGTATAATCTGTTACCTTGTGTAGACTACATGTGTTAAGAGCATCTCCCAAGAGCACAGAGAGCAGCAGGGCCAGCCTGGAGTGAGCTTTCACTCTACATTTGTGCCAGTACTGTTTGAGCAGCCTTACTCTTGAAGGTGACTAGCATGTTCCTAGGTTGGCCAGTT